ATAATCGTTTCAAATATCTTGAAAAACAGAATAATTTTTGTTATTTCGCATTATAATTACTTGTCATTTACGATTAAATGTACATAGTCTTGTTTTGTCATCAACAACATTAATATGCACACATATACGTCAGACCAAATAAACGGAGCATTGGCGTCATTACAGGTAAATCGTATGCAAATGGACAATTTTATTTAACATTTGCTATTTTTTTTAGTAGTGGACAACGTCGTGCTCCGTTCAGATTACCAAAGATGTGTCTTTAATTAATTGATGTACTTACACAATGCTAATGATTAACCCAAGCCAGTGTTAAATGTCTACGCTTGAACAAGAACTATTTACGTATAGAATATCTGTATTATTACCTCATATGTGATGAATGATAAATTCAAGTTATTAAATTTATTATTGAATTATGTGTATTTAAAAAACATAAAACATTAAATTATATATTTTATTAATATATATAAAAATGTTAAAAATTAAAAAATTATTTTGTTATATTTTTAATCGATTTAAGTATAAATTTTAACAAATATTTGAAACTATAAATCATAAATTGCTATTCAAGACAGTATATAAATCAATCGGCAAGAGCCACATAAAGCTTCAAAATAGCTTTTTGATATGCGTACAAATGATTGCTATACATATAAGTAGCAAATATATCCCATACAGCACACTTCATCCGAGGGATATGCTAGGGACGTTCTCAGTATGTAGGACATCTTCTGGACGTCTTTAGAATATCTCTTGAATATTTGTGCTGTATAAGTATTTCAAAATTATATGTAAAATATTATAAATTTTATAAAAAGAGAAATAATTTGATATTTAACATTTAAACTATAGAGCGTAGACGGTTAACACTAATCGATAATCGATTAACTAACAATAGGAAATGAGCACGCGTACACATTAGTTTTGTGCGTATATACAAATAGAGCCTAGTCACAAATATCGTTTAATGATTGAAAGATGCTTCTATGTCATGTCATTTTCATCATTGCTCTTCAGCACTGTTGTTAGTACTACGTTTATTATGGCTATTATTATTGCTATGTTTATCTTTATGAGTTATATCTATTATTCTAATTTGATTATTATTATAAGAATTCTTATTATTGCTACTATTCTATTATTACTGTATGGTCATTATTATTTTATTACTAGTATTATATGTTTATATTATTAGTACTCCTGCCAATGATGGCGATATTACCATTGGCATTTATTATTATTATGACTTACTTCTATTATTTTTATATATATTATTACTAGCACTTTGCGCGCGACAGCAATTACGATTACCGTCTTATTGTTATTGTTGCTAATATTGATCGCTCGCAAATTTAGTACAACAATGGCAGACTATCAGTTTAGGTCAGAATCATAATCATCTAAATATTTTTATGTCCGTTTTTATAGGACACTAATATATAAAGAATTATGTACTGTAAAAACGAATCGTATCTCTGTGCGATTAATGAATGGTCAAATAAGGATCACTTATTTGAGATAGTTACTTCCATAAACAAAGTTTCTATTATAACAGTACGAAATAATGTACTTATAACGAATGATTTATTTTCGTTTCTTATAGTCATTATATTATTGTATTATGCTATTTTCCTAATTGAATACTAATTGGTTGGCAAAATGCAAAAATGTTCAAAATGTTGTTTGTCAAAATAATTGCAAGTACTTGCAAATTTCAGTAACAAAGCTTATAAAATGTTTATTATTTTTTTGTATAAGAGATATAAACACAAAGATTTTTGTATCTTAAAAAGCGAATGAATAGATAGATAATTTTTGTATTATTAATATTATTTTCTATTCTTAACTATTATATAATAATTATCATTATTTTTATATTGTTTATTTTATGAAAATATTATAAATAATACTTAACTAATTTCGTGTCGCATTAATAATATAAATTTTCTTTTCTCTTTTTTCTTTCGCATACGAGCCGACCAATTCCGTGATCCTATTCGACCAACATTTCAATGATACAATCATCTATCCGAATTATTATTATTTGATTTTTACAATTATGCGTGTAATTTACATTTGTTGGTAGAATATGTTTTTGTTTTTAAATGTTTGAGTTATTACTTTGTAATATTAATGTTATACTGTTGAGTATACGGTATTTGCATCGTTAACAATCTGTCATGCTTCTTTATTTTTGTTTTCTTATATGCTATAAATTAAGTTTTTGTTTTTTTTTTTTAATTTGTTCGTCCACCGCGTTTCTCCGTGATACAAAATGTATGTATTTTATATTAAAAGATGGGAATGTGTCGCTATCAGAGCTGTCGAGATGATGAATGTCAAATCGAATGCATATAAAATCTGTACTCTTGATTTTAATATGTTGAGTGTCGATTATTGTATGTAAACACGTTGCTGAAGTCTTATTTTAATTTTATAAATGAAAAAAAAACAGAATTAATTAAAATTAGTGGTTGGTTTAACTAAAACGTTGGCTAATTAAAATCTTTGATAATGGCAAAAATGTGCTCATACGATACATGAATAATAGTATGTCAATATGTAGAATATCGAAATTCGGTCAGCATTTCAAATATTTGTATTTATTATCACTCAACATGTTAAACGCTTTAGGCAAATGATGCGGTATTCAGTACTTAAACAATTGCAGTACTTAATTATATGAAAGATAATTAATCACAAAACACAAATTTTTTAAACCGATATTTTTATAAATTTATAACTTTTCATGTTTATTTTCAAATAATTGACTTATTTCGTCAATAATTATATCAAAATATACATGAGAGACAAATTTTCACTCCGAATGGATATTAAATATAACCAACATCTATGTGACTTAAAATTCACGAAGATCATCCAGATACTCCGAAAGGCGCGTTAATCCCACTCTTTTAATTAGATCAATTTAACTATTAATGATCGAAAAATAATCGTAATTGCGAACAGAGTATTAAGACTCATCGCTATAATTATCTTAATACATATTGGCAATTTTTTCGAATACGCGTATGTACGTAGCACGTATGAACGTGCATCTGTGTTCGGGCATTACATGTATGTTTTTCTTATGTGTACACATCTCTGTATACGTACAAAGTATGTATACATAT